GTGTATTGCCTGCATGTATGTGAGTGCACCCGTGTTGTGCAATGCCACAGAGGTCAGAAGAGAGCTTGGGATTCCCCTGGAACTGGAGTTAAGAACGGTTCACAGCCGCCATGTGGGTGCTGGGAATTGAACCCAGGTCCTCTACAAGAGCAGTCAGTGCTCCTAACTGCTAAGCCATCTCTCCAGCCCCTCATTACTGTATTTCTATGTGTCTACAAGGGAAGGTGAGTCATTGCTCTCTCAAAGAGGAGGATATACTTTCTCTCTTTCATATGTAGTACAATAATTTTAGATCCATCACCACCTTTTTTGTAAGCTCAGCAATTTGAATTTCTCCAAAATTTTTTTCTCCCAAAATTTTTTTCTCCAAAAATGTCTTATTTTCTATTAAGAAACAAATCTTTGCAGTTTTTCTCTGATTCTTTTCAAAATGAAAGTTCACTCTGACCTTTCAGATTTAGTGTCCATGGTTATACCTTTATTTTTTGGATTCTTTCTCCGAGTGGCATTTTGCCTTCGGATGAATTTAAAGCCATAAGGGACTCTTTAATCTCTTTTATCCAATGAATTACATCATGTGCAAGGTCATTAAAGTTCTGGTCTTCAGCAGGTGGTAACTTATCCTCTTCCTCAATTTCATGTAATTGTCTCAATAAAGTCTGGTATCTGTTGATCAAATGTGTTGATTCTGTTATTACTTCTTCTTCCTCAGTAAGCCCATGTTCCTTCAGAGAGTTGTTCAGCTGGGCCACAGTTTCAAATTGCTCCCTGTAATTTCCAAATAACATTGAAAGTTTATAGGAGTCACTACTGCGTGGTGGAGAAATCACATTCCCAAAGAACACGTTTTGACTAGGATCATCATACCTCTTTCTTGTTAACACTTGGTACAACAGCTCAGCTTTCTCTCCTGAGGCTCCCATTTCTTTCCATTTCTCTTCTTGGTTAGTCAACCACTCACTCAGGCTTCTGCAATCATCCTCTAGGCTACAGGAACAATTCACAGGTTGGAATAGAAACAAGAAAAAGTGACTATACTGAAGAGAAGGACGGCAAGTACCTTGTGAGCCAAGCAGATCTTTACTAAGGATGCTTATGTTTTAAAGAAAGCCTAACTTACAACATATCCAAGTCTAAGCAATTACTGCTTATGTTGTAGTGGAATCCATTAAGGCAATGAACCATACAAAGGTATCATAAAAAGAAGGAAATAGGCTGGAGAGATGTCTCAGTGGTTAAGAGTGCTGACTGCTCTTGCAGAGGGCCTAGGTTCGATTCCCAGCATCCACATGGCAGCTAAAAACCACCTGTAACTCCAGTTCCAGGGGATCTGACACCATCTTCTGACCTCCACGGGCATTGTACGGCACAGATGCACTTACACACAATGCAAGCAATATACTCATACACATAAAATAACAAAACATTTTTTTAAAAAGCAGGAAACAAAAAGACTAAGAAAACAATTTTTAGACTTTCTTCTGAAACATTGACATTTTAAATAACTTAAAAAATTCCTTGAGGGGGCTGGAGAGATGGCTCAGCAGTTAAGAGTACTGGCTGCTCTTGCAGAGGATCTGGGTTCAGTTCCCAGGACACATGGTGACTAACAACAGTCTGTAACTGCAGTTCCAGGGGAATCTTCTGGCATCTGCAGGCACTGCAAGACATGGGTATGCTTATATATATACATGCAGGCAAAATACTCATACGCATAAAAAAAATGGAAAAAGAATTTCTTGAACTTTCATAGTCCTAGGACAGAGCTTGGGTTTAAAAGTACAGTCAGTATCTGGGAGGTACAGCTAGTGTCTTGAAGGTACAGCTCAAGGGTTGAATGCTTGCCATGAGGCCTTGGATATAATAGCCAGAAAAATATGTATAATTGGCCCTCTGTATGAGCAAGTTCCACATGCATGGAACTCCAATGGCAACAGATCCAAATTATTTTTAAATTATGTGTGTACAAAAATGTAGACTCTTTTCACTTTCCTGTCTGCATTCTTTAAATAATTCAGTATAACAACCATTTACACAGCATTTACATTGCATTAGTTATTATAACATTGAAAGTATGTGGGAGAATGTGCATAAAGTATTACAAATACCATGTCAATTTCTAGAAGGCACTTGAGCACCCATGGGTATTATTACCCATGGGTGCGGGGGTCCCATATAGATACCAAGGAACATCTGTATTTATTTCACTTGTGAAATTTATATACATTGAATATCACAGCATAAGCTGCACGAAGAAAGAGTATATCAGAAATCCCTAGGAAAATATCCTTAGAAAGTGCCATTTCTTTCTTTCCTACCTCAGTAGCTGCTGCAGGTAGCTATCCAGTTCCTTTGCTCGAGCCTGGCATATAGACTCCATGTTTTCTAACTCGAGTTCTTGACTCCCAAGCCAGCTGTTGAGCTCTTTCACATGTGCTTTGGGTAGGTGCTTCTTCACATGCAGTAAGACAGTTTCCACCTGCCGTATTTTACTGCTTCGTCCTTCAAGAGCGAAGAAATCCTTAAGAAACACAAAAATTCAATTACTGTCTACAGTCGAGACAAAATGTGCCTGGTGCCTCCATGACACTTCCGTAAACCAGTACCTATGGCTGACTCCTTCCTAAAATCCCTTAGGAAGGACTAGGCAGATGCTGCCGATGCCAATGACAGGTCACTTACAGTAGTGCTAGAACATGTGTGCACATTTGCACTTTTGTCTGACTTTATGGGAATTACATCAAGCAAAATAATACAGGACTGCAGTAATAATCTCGGGGAAGAAGACTAAGAGACCTAGCTACTTCTATCCTGGCAATGTTTCACTTCTCCTAAATAGTCTTCATGCCTCCTTCTGGTCATCAACATGCAAAACTAAACGATTATTCTTCATTTACATTTACTCAACCCATATCTGAGCCTGCGCCCCGCCCTCCCCCACATCCCAATGTTCATGTTTCAAGGTCTGGGCATCAATTACTGAGGCCCATGTAACGATCAAAACTAAAAGTATAAAGAGAGGAAAGATAAGCCTGTCGATAAAGGGGAAAGGGAGTTTAGCAAGCAATAAAACTAACAGAACATCAACAATTATATGGAAGATTATGCACTAAGTATATGCAAATGCCCTGCCATTTTATATAAAGAACATGAGCATCCATGAATTTTGGTATCCATGGGGGTCCCTGGAACCATTAGCAAGCTTAAGAACATGACAACATCCAGACAAAGGCAGGAGCCCCAGTTATTGAGGTGAGAGAAATGCAGAAGTGCTTGAGTCCAGGAGTTCAAGGTCAGCCTGAGTGATATAGTTAGATGTCTTTCAAATATTTTAGTTTTGATAAATTTTTGTATGCATATCTTACGGTGAGTTTCTGCAGCTTTTGTTCCATGCTCGTTTTTGTTTCTGGTGGTTCAAAACATTCCTTAAGGTTCATTTTGATGTTGCTGAGCCAGTCATTGAAGTTCTTACATTGATCTGCAGGAGAAAAAAGTTTTATGCATTCAAATGGGACTTCTTCATATACCTATTACATGAGAAATTTGGAAATTGTTTCCCATATCACTGTAAGGTAGTAATATATTCTGAAACTCAGCATTGAAGACTAATTAAGAATAGAGAGCAATTCGGTGTATTTTTTACACCAAACATTTTTCCAAGCGTACAAGATACCTAAAGAGGGGGGAGGGCAGCGTGCTCACTGGCACATCCTCAGACACATCGACCACAGTGAGAGGGTCCAACATGACCCCAGTAACCTACTATGAAATAAAGACTTAAGGCTTGAAAGAAATGGGTATTACTTAAGCCAAGCTCTGACCACTGGGTGTTTCTCCCAGAGGATTTATCTAAATATTATTCCTTTAAATATTATCTATGCAAGCTGCCTGTAAGTCAGGCTTAGATCAGCCTCTGCGCCCACAGAGTTATTAACGTAGTCACACTCCAAGATTTCCAGAAACAAAATTAGAGACACATCACACTCACCATTCAAGAGTGTGGAGAAGTGGTCCTGCAGAGCACTTTTCTTGGTATTAAATAAGTCACTGACACTTTCATACTGTCTTCTCAATTCTGAGAGCTCTGGAGTGAGGCAGCCTATTTGGCTCTCGAGGACCATCATGCTGTGCTGCTGCTGCAGGATTTGCTGCTGAATTTCCTGCACACAAGAACAAACCACAGCCAAATGTCCCGAACAGGCTCAATTCATACAGAGCACATGAGTTTCGGCTATTTTGTGTGTGTCTGTGTGTACACTGTGTGCATGTGTATACACATGTGTGTGTGTATGTGTATGCATGCATACATGTGGAGGCCGGAGGTCAACTCTGGATGGCTTCCTCTATCGCTTCGCACTGTATTTCTTGATAGGGTTGAGCACTAACTGGCTTGGCTATGTGGCCAGGGAGATCCAGGGACCCACCTGTCTCTGCTCCCTGAAACTGGCCTTTTTAAAAACTGTGGGTGCTCGTCATCTGAGCTCTGGTTCCTGTGCTTGCATAAGAAGGAATTTACCAACTGAGCCATCTCCCTGCCCCAGAGGTTTTGATTATAAATCTGAAAATTTTTCAATTGAGCGAATTTGCTTTCTTTTTCATGGTAAATGTGCAATACAATTTTTTTTACATTTATTTATTATTTAATGTGAGAGGGGTGTACATGTGCTACAGCATACATGTAGAGGCCAGAGGACAATTTGCAGGTGTTTGATCTCTCCTTCCACTGTATGTGTTCCAGGATTAAACTCAAGTTATCAACCTTGGTGGCAAGTATCTTTATTTGCTGAGTTATCTCACGGGCCCAAGACACAATTTAATATCAAAAAATTACTGTCCACAACACAAATCAAGGGTGAAAATGCTAAACAAAAATTGGCTTTCTGAGGGATTGTTCCTAAAAATTTTTTTCTGTTTTTATTAACTACAAAAGGATAAGATCACCCAAAGCTCAGTGGTAGAGCACTTGCCTAGCGTGAACTAGATTTAATCCCCAGTACCGTCAAAAATAAAAATAAAGGGGCTGGAGAGATGGCTCAGTGGTTAAAATCACTGGCTGCTCTTGCAGAGGACCCAGGTTCAAATCTCAGCACCCACATGGCAGCTAACAACTGTCTATAACTTCAGTTCCAGGGGATCTAACGCCCTCTTCTGACCTCCGTGGGCATTCCACGACATGGGTGCACTGACATACATGCAGGTAATATACTCATACACATAAAAAAATTAAAAATAAAAAGAATAAAAATGAATGAAAGAAAAGGAAAATAAAGTGTGTAAGAAAAAGTCTGACTGGGGCAGCCTTTAATCCCGGCACTCGGGAGGCAGAGGCAGGCGGATCTTTGTGAGTTCCAGGCCAGCCTGGTCTATATAGTGAGTTCCAGGCCAGCTGGGACTACAGAGAGACCCTGTCTCAAAAACAACGAATGAAAGGAAGGAAGGAAGGAAGGAAGGAAGGAAGGAAGGAAGGAAGGAAGGAAGAAGGAGGGAGGGAGGTAGGTGGGAGGGAGGAAGAAAGAAAGAAAGAAAGAAAGAAAGAAGTCTGAACAGGCAGCTGGACAGCACCTCAAGCTTCGTGAAGATCTCCAGACTGTCAGAGGGAGACAAGGCATTCAGGAGGGACTCAGTCATCCCCATCTGGGTCTTGGCCTGGTCCAGATCCTCTCTTAGCTCAGCTGTGTTGCTGCTAGGCGTGTAACTATTGGGTTCTCCTGTGAGGCACTTTTTTACATGTTTTATCTTGCTCAAAACAGAGGACTCCATGACCTGAAATCACAAAACACATGAAATAAGGAGCCTGGCTTCACTAGGCTTGAGTAGACTGCCTCTACAGACTAAGCTGAGATTGCTTCATCTCAGGGTGAAATAAATTCCTATTTGTTACATTGCTCCATACCATTGATATAATCATTGGAAGGCTGCCCTGAAGGAAATAAAGAACAGTATGAAAAACTGAAGTTGACATGTGACCATTTTCTAATATATTAATTGGAATTCTTCTTGCTAAATAAGTTTATCTAGTATGCAAACTGAAATGTTATTGCACTCATGAGATAAAGCATATTAAAAATAGATGAGATTAAAACTATAAAAAACATTAAATAGTCCTGATTTTTATTTCCTGGTTTATTTTTGTTCAGAGATGGGACCTACTATGTAGCCCAGGTTGGCCTCAAACATGTGATCCTCCTGCCTTAGCTTTCCCAGTGCTGGTATTACAGACATAGACCACTTCACACAGCTAACATTGACTATTTTTAATGTATTCAGCATTGTGGTAAGCACTTTGGACACAAAATAGTTTTAAGGAAATTAAGCAACTCCTCCAATCACAAAATTGATACTCCATACAGACAAGATGCCACCCAGAAAGTCTGCCTAAGAGTTTGTAAGTAATCACTATGACCTGGATCTAAAGGGAATTAAGCAAATCTCTTCACCCAGCAGAAAATCACACTTAGGGCAATTCCCCTCTTTCTCCACCCATCACTTAATGAACCCAGGATCACTTAAGTCATAGTCTCCTTCCTGCACCCAATACACACATACGAAATAACTGTCACTTCAAATGGAAGAACAGCTACGATGTCCCCTCCACATAAGAAGCCTGTAAATGAGTAAAAGGAGAGAAGACCACAAAAATATAATATTATCACACTGAATGCAAAACACATGCAATTATCTAAACTGATTAAAATTATAGTTGAGATACAATAAATTATCCTAACTTTATTTTCTATTTAAAATTCTGAATGTGTGATTTATGAACTTCATTTTAGAAGGTACAGAGAATCTTTAGCCAAGACTTGAATAAAAAAATCTGGTACCTGCAATTCAAGTGGTTTTTCACTACATTGAAGGAGCAATTGTATGTCTGCTACTCTTCTAGAAAATTCTGAAGTTTGTTCTTCATGGACTTTTAACTCTTCCTAAAATATAAAATTTTAAAGGAAAATCTTTAGCTTATTTTACTTTCTGGTACTTAATGATGATTTCGTTGTTGATGCACAGAAACCTGAGGATGCCCCGGAATTTCCCTTAATTCTTTGTTTTTAACAGCCAGGAAGTTATAAACCCAAATGCTTTTAGGAGTTAAGGCAAAAAAATAGCCAAGTGAAGCATTCTCCTTTAAGACAACTGAGGGGCAAAGCCTGCCACTTGGCTTTATGCACTGCTGAAAGGCAGTGAAAATGTCTCAGCTGGCTAGCATAAATCAGGAGTGAGCGTGCACACTCGGAAACCGATTTCAGCAGAATCCAGCCCATAGGCTGGCAGTTTACAAATCCTTAATTTCAAATTCTTAAATAACCTGTAATTCAAGACACATTTAAAAGTCTTGGAGATAATCTGTTTATATTTAGAGAATCACAGTTTTGGTTTATAACTATCATAATCATCAAAGAAACCAGAAATCCTCTCACATTTTGAAAACTTTCCCCAAACATAGCAAAGTACGTCAATTAAAATTTATACTGAAACAGTGTTTTCTAGACACAACAGGGCACGTACACATATGAACTCAGAGATTCACTTACCTCTGCCTCCCAGTGCTGGGATTAAAGGCATGCACCACCACACTGGGCTGTCTACCAGTATTTTGTTTTGGGGTTTTTTTGGTGTTTTTGTTTTGCTTTGTTTTTGACAGGGTTGCCCTAGTTCCAGCCTACCTGGAAGTCATTATGTGGAGCAGGCTGACCTCTACCTCAGAGATTCGCCTGCCTCGGCCTCTCAAGGGCCACGCCAGGCATTCTATCAGTGTTTTTATGTGACTACCACAGGGTCGAGTGGTGGCTTAGGCAAATAGGATGAGCCACAAGCCTAAACTATCTGCAATATGGCCACCTAAGAAAGTTTGCCTTCCCTACAGTCTAGACTAACCACCTGGGAGCTATACTACATTCTGCTAGCTTCTTCTAGGGGTTCTTAATGTTTTATTTTTAATGATTTTAAGAAATTTTTAATATTTTGCTTCTTTATTTTGTTTTTGAGTGTATTGCCTTCATGTGTGTAAGTGCACCCACTCGTACAATGCCCTCAGAGGTCAGAAGGTGGCCTTGGATCCCCTGGAACTGGAGTTACGAATGACTATTAGCCACCATGTGGGTGCTGGGAATCGAACCTGGGTCCTCTGCAAGAGTAGCCAGTGCTCTTAACTCCTGAGCCATCTCTCCAGCCCCTTTTTAAATGATTTTTTTCTAAAGGCTTGTTCTAATTCTGTGTGTGTCTGGCAGAGGCCAGAAGAGGAAGTCAGATCCTCTGGACCTGGAGCTGTAAGTGATTGTGAATTGTCCCACATGGGTGCTGGGATCTAAACTGAGGTATTCCAGAAGAGTAGCATGAGCTCTAACCACTAAGTAAGCTCTCCAGCCCCATTTTAACTTTTTAAAAGATACTATATTACCCCACTGCAAGCCTGGGGAAACCTAAGAACCCTTTACATAATAGTAGTTGAAAAATAAAGTAAAAAAAAAAAAGTTAAATAGGATTATAAAGGAAAATAATCACATTAGGTTGCAGTTAGAAAAACATCTTGCAATATTCTTACTGCATGCTTCTCTGATAATGTTAAACCGCAGGATCTACCAGAGAGCATACTAAGTCCCATACTATCAAAGTAGTCGTAAGAATAAGTTATAATTACTGAGTAATAATTCAAAGAGACGTGTGGTCTTTGTGATACTGAAGTCTCACACAATGCTCTTTCTATTACATAATACTACCGACATTTGAACAGGGCTTCATCTCAGAAATTTGTGGAAACTGAGATGCCACCTTTCCCCATCCAGTGTCCATTTACCATGAAGCCCTTGGGTATCTGTAAAGCCCAGATTAACAGTATTCACAAACATCTGCCTAGATATCACAGGGAAATCGATAGAGCTCAGATCCCCCTCAAGAGGAATCAAGAAAAAAAATGCATTATTTCATTTGGATTTTTTCTATCCTGATGCATGAAAGCAAACTCAACATTGCAAGAAGGCTACTGTGTACAAACCAAGCCCCCACTGGGTGTATTACCGTCAGCCTTTCCCCGTCCTCCTCAGTCAGCTGATGTGATTCCACTTTCCCAAGAGTCTCTTCAGTCCACTCATCAATGCTGTTTTTTAAGTTTAAAAGTTTGTCCCACAAAGCCAGAGCGCGCACAAGGTTTTCACAGTACTCTTCTGTCTTCTCATTTATCTATAGCAATTTTCAAACAGAAGTAATGTACACAGCTGTGAAGAGCATTGCTTCAGTTGAACACTTGTTTTAAAATGAAATCTGAGTTTACCACTAGTAATTTGCTTCATTCACCAACAAAAAAGAATTTTACTTTCATATACCATGTAGCTCTCGCTCTAAAAAACAAAAAGCTCAGCCAATTTGCTATAGCATATATGTAATCCAAAGCAATTGTTGTGAGTCAGGCACAGTGGTAACTGCCTGTAATCCCAGCACTCGTGAGGTTGCAATGGCAGGATGGCTGTGAGTTCAAGACCTGCCTGAACTACACAAGGCCCTGTCTCAAAAAAGGAAGATAGCTGAGAAGTGGTGCATGGCTGTAAACTCAGCACCAAGGAGGCCGAGGCAGGAGGATAACTGCAAGCCTGGGGCTACCTTGGCTTTCATAGTCAGTTCAAGCCTAGCCTGGGCTACATAGCAATACCCTGTCTCAAAAGTAAATAAGCCAGGCATGGTGGTGCACAACTTTACTCTTAGCACTTGGGAGGCAGAGGCAAATGGATCTCTGTGAATTTGAGACCAGCTTGGTCTATATAGTGAGTTTCTAGGCCAGCCAGGGCTACACAGAAAGACCATGTCTCAAAAATAAGTAAATGAATAAATAAAATTAAATTATTAAACTGAAAATGCAGGTACATTTTTAGTCTATAATTCATAAAGGTATCAACTGAGGAGCTGGAGAGATGGCTCAGCGATTAAGAGCAGGGACTGCTCTTGCAGAGGACCTGGGTTTGATTCCCAGCACCCATATGGTGGCTAACAACCATCTGTAACCCCAGTTCCAGGGGATCCGACGCCCTCTTCTGACCTCCTCAGGCGTTGCATGATATGGGTGCACATACATACATGCACGCATAACACTCATACACATAAAATAAAAATGAATAAAATTTTTTAAAAAAGATATCAATTGATCTTCAATTAAGAATATTTTAGATTTATAGTTGAAGATCAATATCCTGAATGAATAGTTATGCTATTTTAATTGAGCGCATTTTTAATTTTTAAATTTTGAGATAAGGTCTTATGCAGCCCGGCTGTCCTTGAAATGCTATTCCTGCTGCCGCATCCCAGGCTTGAGGATATAAACTTTATACCTGGATGATTAAGTCTCATTTGCTAGTAGTGTCTATCTCTGGGTAAGATTAATTTTTAAGTTATAAACTCCTTATTACCTGAACATTTTAGAAAGAAGACAACTTAAATTTTTTTTTTTTTTTTTTGGTCTTTTTGAGACAGGTTCTCCCTGTAGCTGCAGCTGTCCTGGAACTCACTATGTAGACCAGGCTGGCTTTGAACTCACAGAGATCTGCCTTCCTCTGCCTCCCAAGTGCAGGGATTAAAGGCATGCACCACCACGCCCGACCAACAACTTAAATTTTTAATGTGGTAAGACTGTGAAAGATATATTCCAAAAAGATTAATTTGTTACAAAACAGAATTCTTAGGCAATTAAGTTATCACATACATCAAGCCATCGATCCACAATAACATTAGCTTCTTTTTCAAAAGGGGGCTCTTCAAAGGTTTTCATTTTATTTAGATGAAACTGCAGATTTTTGCAGATCTGATTTATCTTGTCTACGATTTCTAAATGTTCATTAAATTCTTCTTTAACAGTTTCAATCTGTAAAAAAAAAAAGGTATTTTGATATATTGACATAGGAAACTATAAAAAAAACACACACATGTTAAAACAAATAATAACAAGAATATTCTTATTGCTCTTTCTCAATGAAAACATTACAGAATACTATTATTTGAATAATAATCTTATACCCAAATCTCCCACTCTGCTTTATGGGATACAGATCTATTCATTTAATTTTTATTTTAAGTGAATGGTGTTGCAGTCAAGCCCAAAGCCCTGTGCATACTAGATAAGTGCTCCATCATTGAGTTATATCCCCAGGACCTATGTGTTTATTTTGAAACAGAGTCTCCCAACTCAGTCTCCTCAGTGCTAGAATGACAAATGTTCATCATCCAGCCTTGGATGCATTATGAGATATTTATTTATTTATTTTATTATTATTTTGGGGGGTGGTCTTTTTGAGACAAGGTCTCCCTGTAGCCCCAGCTGTCCTGGAACTCACTATGTAGACCAGGCTGGCTTCAAACTCACAGAGATCCGCCTGCCTCTGCCTCTGCCTCCCGAGTGCTGAGATTAAAGGTGTGTGCCACCATGCCCAGCAAGAGATACTCATAAAGGTATCAATCATGCTTCAGATCCATGGAATACTCTACCAAAATCAAACCATAACTAGAATACTGATTCAATTGCATTAAAAGAGAAAAAACAAGACAGCTTTTATGTTTCTTTAACAGGAATCATGGTTTTCAATATCAACAATCCTAATTGTTGTTGGGGTTTAAAAAGGGCAGGAGCCAGAGGAAAGTGCACAGTATGCACCAGAGGGAACTCAGGTGATGGACAGCAGGAGGGAACTTGTGGTGGTATACAAGCACTTTCTCCTGACTGCACTGACATTGGTGTCTTGACTGGGATGTGGTACTGGCTGTAAGATTTTACCACTGGAGAAACTGAGTAAAAGGCACAAAGCATTACTTTTTCTTCTGTCTTATAACTGCATGTGAATCCAGAATTACCTCAAAAGTAGAATTTTAATTTAAACATTGAGATTAAAGCCAGGTATGGTAGTGCATGCCTGTAAGCTCAGTACTCAGGACTCTGAGGCAGGGAGATTGCCAAGTTCAAGGCCAGCTTAGATAAGAAGGAACACTATCTCAAAAATTCAAAAGCAAGGAGTTAGGAAGATAGCTCAGTCAGTAAAACACTTGGCCTGTAATCCCAAGGACCTGAATTTGAACCCCAGAACCCACATAAACAACTAGACTCAGCAAAACGAGCCTGTAAGTCCAGCACTGGGGAGGCAGAAACAAGAGGATTCTTAGGGCTTGTGAGCCAGTTAGTCTAGCTGAACCGGCGGGTTCCTGGTTCAGAGATAGACCATCTCAAAAAATAAGGGGAAGACTGATTCAGAACGACACCCAATGCCAAACTCTGGTTGCCACAGAACTGAGATCCAAACCCAGATCTTTCTCTTGCTTCAGGGCTCTGCACTGGGACAAGGCAAATGTGTGTGTGTGTGTGTGTGTGTGTGTATGCATGCCCTTTTTTCTTCATGCAAAGCACTTTCTGGTTATACTAGTGCAAGCTGTCACTGGATGAAGAGGAGAGAAAAGGTAGGAGAAGGTACTTTCAACCAGAATTGTAGGTTTTGTTCCACAACATCTGCAACTGGGCAAAAGGAATTGGAGCCATTCTGACATTTCCAAAACATTAACAATGCTCTGACATTCAGCTCTTCTCTCAGAGCTGTCTTTTACTAAAGAGAGTGAAAAGTTAGCACCCTATCATAGATGAACATCCAGTTTTCCACGGTTTGCAAGCACAAAGACCCTAGTGCTATCATATGTCTACAAAGCACCATGAAGACACAGTAACTGACTATGCAGACAGTACCTAAGTCATCACTAATCAACTGCCAAGTGGTGTTACAATTAGTTCTAAAATTTCCTTTCTAAAGACAGTTTTTAAAAAGCTTGGATAAGGGGCTGGAGAGATGGCTCAGCAGTTAAGAACACTGACTGTTCTTGCAGAAGGCCCGGGTTCAAATCCCAGCACCCACATGGCAGCTAACAACTGTCCGTAACTCCAGTTCCAGGGGATCCAACAGCCTCTTCTGTCCTCCATGGGCATTGCACGGCACGGGTGCACTTACCTACATGCAGGCAATACACACATACACATAAAATAAAAATAATAAATAAAATATTTTAAAAATAAAATGAAATAAAATAAAAAGCCAGGACAAGAATTAAGCACCAGTATATTGAAAACTTCTATTCATACAAAATAATGCATTCTGCAACTCTATAACATATATGTTAAGGCACTACTAAAAATGGAATGCCACCAAAATCAGAAAATCTTGGATGGTTATGCATTTTTAAAGGTTAGTTTATTAAGTTTAAAAATTGTTTTACTTTTTTTTTGGTCTTTTTAGACAGGGTCTCCCTGTAGCCCCAACTATCCTGGAACTCACTATGTAGCCCAGGCTGGCCTTGAACTCACAGAGATCCGCCTGCCTCCCAAGTGCTGGGATTAAAGGTGTGCGCCACCAGGCCCGCCTGTTTCAGTTTTTTTTTTAAATTTTTTATTGCTTGTATTTTATGAGCAGCAAGTGGCTTGACAACCCAGGGAAAGCCAAAACACTCACCTCAAAACCTAGAAGGTTAAAAAAAACAAAGGGAAGAAGCGAGGAAGAAGTCTATTTGGGTGTTAGAATTTCAAAAGATTAGATATTCCCATGAAGGAAGGCAGGCACAAACAGGAAAGTGGGATGATAGTTTCTAACAAAGATACTTCAGACTTTCGGATTCCACTCTACCTATACCCTGTCAGAAGAAGAGAGCCTGGCTTTCCAGACAGGCACTGGACTTGCGGCTGCCACACCTGGGGATGGGGTGGGCTCTTGTTATGACCATCAGAAAGGAACTAGTAAAGATAGAGGGTCAAGACTGGGCTAGACTGGCACTAGAGATACTCACCTAAGGAGAGACCACCTGCCTACAGGTGATGAGTGGAAATTTCACTAGAAGTCAGATAAATGACTTCTCTAGAAAGGGCCATTTACAGGTACAGAGCCATAAGAGTGTGCAAACACCCAAGAGCTACAGGTGGGTAGCACACAGGGCTGGGCATCGTGGCTGACACCCATTAAAATGTTAAGTTCCCTGCTAGGGGCCTGGCGGATCCTACCTTACCAAATCAGGAAAGGGCTGCTCTCTGCTGTAACAGGAGCCCACCAGCAGAGTTAAGGCCAACCTTGCCAGGACTAGGAAAGAGTTATACACACAAAGAAAAGCTGCAAGCTAAGAGGGGCCAGTATCTGATCAGTATCTAAGGCAAGCACTCAGGATCTGCTGAATAAGGCAGAGACCTTGATCCTAAAACAAGTGTACCAGGTGGGAGATCACTGTCAGGAACAACACAAGCCCAAGAAGATCTTGTAAGGCTGCGCATGCTGGATTCTCTGAAAACCAAAGAAGGCAGGGCTCTTAAATCTGCTGGAATGAGAACAAGATCCTTCTAGGTCCCAAGACCAGTCAACCCTAAAGCCGCTGCTGTTGGACGAACTAGGCAGGTTGCTGCTCAGCAACTCAGTGAACCACCTGCTCATGATCTTGGTGGCCTCCTTCAATTAGGTCTGATAGGAAACCAGTCATAGTCACCTGTTGCACAACTGTTGTCTAAACAGGGCCCCTTTTGATTGGTCAGCTCTGTGAAACTTTCTGAGAAACTAGGTCACAGGAAAGGGCTCTCCCAGGCATGCTTGGGGTCACTTGAGCTTGGGGGCTGGCAATTCTAGATAAAGACCAGGTTGCCATAATAGTCTGTTCCATTTATACATCCACTGAGTTGCTCTCAGCAACGGGGAGGTTTAATAAAACCGCTTTCTAGCAGTCTGGGGTATCAAGACAACATGTCAGACATGCTTGTGACAGCCTGACAACCCTGCAGCTTAATGCTCATACGCCAGTAGGAAAAACATCGTTCTGATGTAGGGTCATAGAGTATTGTAATGTGTTCTTTCCAGCTATGCAAAATCATAGAAAACCATGACATCTAGTGTCCAAAAGATGTTACTCTTCTTAGCATATGGAGTTGTGATTGGTGAGGCTATCAACACAGATGGAACAATCTGGAGACAGCTGTACAGAAGAGGAGCCAGTAAAGACACAATCTCCCCTTTGTCTGTTACCAACACACAGGGCTTTCCTATCATCTTCGTTTTCTTTGAAGCCTCGGGCTCCTTTGTAAATAAAGCACTGGGGCAAAGGCCCTGACTGCTATAGAGATAGCAGATGATGCCAGGCTCCCACAGAACCACGGTCCCAATACCAAAACCCAAACCAAAGAAACCAAGTACCAACTTGGAAACTGATTTCTTTCAAGCTCTGGTGATAAATTTAATAAATTATTAAACATCTGGTAAAACAAACACTACTGCTTATAAGTCAGATTTCAAACATGATTTCTTCTATGAATATCCTCTTTACTGTTGGGCTTAGTAAAGCTGCTCTGTAGCATTTCTTCTGAATGGACACTCACCTCGGCTATCTTTTTCTTCAGGTTCTCCTTTCCCATGTATGAGGCCTGCTGGGAGATGACGCTCTCTTCTTTTTGAATCAAAGTTGTTAAGATGCCTTTAAAATTCTGATATTGTTTTAAGAGATCCAAAACTCTTCCACATTGATCAAGACTATGAAGAAAAACAAAAGTGAAATAGCCAAATATGTGAAAATAATAGAATGTTTTATAATAATGATGCATAATTAATAAAAGGATTTTATTTATTTTGGTATTTTTGAAAAATTTATTATTTTTATGTGTATGTGTGTATTGCCTGCATGTAGGTGTAGATAAGTGTACCCGCGTCATGCAATGCCCACAGAGAGAAGAGGCCGTCGGATCCCCTGGAACTGGAGTTACAGACAGTTGTTAGCTACCATATGGGTGCTGGGATTCGAATGGGTCTTCTGTAAGAACAGTCAGTGTTCTTAACTGCTGAGCCATCTCTCCAGCCCCCCTATTTTTGTATTTTTGAGACAGGGTCTCCCTGTAGCCACAGTTGGCCTGGAACTTGGTATGTAGACAAGGCTGGCTTCGATCTCATAGAGATCCACCTGCCTCTGTCTCTCAAGTACTAGGATTAAAGGCATACATCATCACGACTGGCTCTTTTTTTTTTTTTCTTTTGGCCTTTTTGAGATAGGGTCTCCTTGTAGCCTCAGCTAGCCTGAAACTTGGTATGTAGTCAAGGCTGGCCTCAATCTCACAGAGATCCACTCTGCCTCCCAAGTGCTGGGATTAAAGGCCTGTACCTCCACACCTAGCTAACAAATGGACTTTCCATCTCCACATGGCTAAATTAATTTACCAGTATAACCCAAGAATGAAGAAAAAATATATATCCAGCAAATACAAGTATAAATAATCTAGATAAGTACCCTTACCAATGATAGTAAAATCACACATGTAAGTTCTGGCGAGATACAGAATTCACAATGCCACAGATTCAGTTTTCATTAACCAAAGACATGTTGAAGGACAGCGCCCTCACAGCATTATTATTGGAGATTATTTCAAATCACTTATTTCACAGGCCACTTATGAGAATGTCTTCTAGATTCAGCCCTTTTTAGAAAGTTAAAATAGTCAGTGAATGTGGTAGTTAGTGCTTGATTTCTAGTATAACTAGGTACTAACTAGTCCTGGGGCTTTTAGTGAAGTAACTTTTTGTATGGGATCTCAAATCTTTCCTCTGTGAAATTAGACTAAATCATAAGCCACAGACTAGCTTTATCTTGGCTTCTGTATACACAGGTTCCATTAGAAAACTGGAAATGTACAGCAATAAGATGCTGAAGAGGGTGGAGAAACAACCAGGTTTAAGGGAAGAATTAAGGGAAGACACCAGAGAGGCTCAGGGACTTCCCACAGCAAACAAGTCACACAGTTCCTCAAGGAGACAGAGGGAAGTGACCCCAGCCACAGAGGTAGACACCTTTAGGACTTGCTGAAACCGCATGTGACAGACACTGACTGGCCTGTGAACTCCAGTGAGAAGCCTTGTGTTTGTCCCTCTGTGAGGTTCAAGGGCCAGGTTTCCCACACAAATGCTTCACAACGGTAACTGTGTACAGGCAGGTTTTCAGATTCATAAAGGATTTATTTTCTCTTACCACTCAGTGACAGAAGCTTTCACACTTTCCCACAAGATGGCTGTATCTTGACACTGTTGCTTCACAACTTTCTCTCTGCCATCTTTGAATTGTGGAAGAGAATCAGCCATTTTTTGTATCTGTTTGTTTTCTTCTTCATATCCATCTAGGTCCTTATCCAGTTTGAGTAACGATTTTTTCCTTGATTATGGATAAGAAAAGTTTATTAGTTAACTGTTAACCAAGTTGGTTCAACAAAGATATGGTGAATTTGGAGACTGTACTTTTGTTTTGCCTCATGAGGTTTAATGACAAAATTAAACATTTCTATTACAAAAGAATTCCTAGGGGCTGGAGAGATGGCTCCACAGTTAAGAGCACTTACTGCTCTTGCAGAGGATCCAGGTTTATTTATCAGCACCCATATGGAGTCTCACAATATTCTGCCCTCCTCTGACCTCCGTGGGAGCTGCATGCATGAGATGCGCATACACTCAAGTAGGCAAAACACTCACACACTTAAAAACTAATAATTCTTTTTTAAAAAAGCCAAGGAATTCCTATATAGTCAGCACTATACAGGAATATACTCCTACATAACAGAGCTCAGGGGTTTCTTTGCATTTCCAGAATATTAATTATTTTAATTAAATATAATAAACATACAAAACCAAAAACAAGCTGGGCATGGTGGCACACGCCTTTATTCCCAGCACTCAAGAGGCAGAGGCAGGCAGAACTCTGTAAGTTCAGGGCCAGCCTGGTTGTCTACATAATGAGTTCCAGGCCAGGTGGGGTTACAGGGAGACCCTGTTTCAAAGACCAAAATATAAATAAATAAAAAGAAAACCATAAGCAGCAACACTTATTTCCTGTGGTGAACACATATATAGATGAATATGAGAGGAAAAACAGGGAGAATGTGTATGGATAGGTGTGAGAAATAGAGCGTGATGTGGAGAAAACGGAAAACAACTGAACAAAGCCAGGGTACTAAGAAGAGCTGGGAGTGACCAAGGAGAAAGGAAACAGGAGGAACACCTTGTACTTCTATGTACAAAAAGCTCTCCGTAGGGGCCGGAGACATGGCTCAGCAGTTAAAAGCACTGGCTGCTCTTGCAGAGGACCTGGGTTCGATTCCTACCACACATGTGGTGGCTAACAACCACCTGTAACTCCTGTTCCAAGGGATCCAATGCCCTCTTCTGGCCTCCATGGGCACTGCATACATGTGGTGCATGTACATGCAGGGAAAATACTCATACACATAAAAGAAAAATAAATTACATTAAAAAAAAAAAGTTTGTCTGGGTGTGGCAGCACACGCCTTTAGTCCCAGCACTTGGGAGGCAGAGGCAGGCAGATCTCTGTGAGTTCAAGGCCAGCCTGCTCTACATAGTGAGTTCAGGTCAGCTGGGGCTACAGAGAGACCTTGTCTCAAAAAGACCAAAAAAAAAAAAAAACCACAACTCTTCCTAAGGGCTGGCAAGATGGTTCAGTGGGTAGAACACTTGCTACTAAGTCTGACAACCTGAATTCAATTCCTAGGGTTCACATGGTGAAAGAACAAAACCAACTCTTGCAAGTTGTCTCTAATCTCCACATAGTGCTGTCACATACATGCACATGCATACACAGACACTAAATAAATGATTTTAAAAACTGTTTAAAGCACTCCCATTTCAAAAAGGAGCCATTTAACTAAAGGTTTATCCTACAAACCAATCTTGGAGGATAAAGTCCATCCATCACCTTGAAGGTAAATTGCTAAGCTGCTCAGTCCCTACCTTCTCTCTTCCAATTTGCTCTGGAACCATCCCCAGGAGGCTTGCTCTGCTTCCTGCTTCATTCAAACTGCAGTCAAGAGCCTCAGTACCTCACACTGGAAATGTGAGCTCTGTCTTGGTCTCCTCCCTCCTCCAGCATTTTGCACACATGGTCACGTTCTCCTGGGTGAGGCTCCCATCACTCTTGACTTTCCTCCCCTGTCTTTCACTGGTTCCTCATTACCCTGATCTCTTAACACAGAATATCCTGAAGGGTACAGCCTGGAACTCTTATCTATTTCAACTCCCTTCCTTGGCAATTTCAGCCAAACTCATGACTTTAAACAGCAATTTAAAGCTCCACTGTGTACCTCTAGCCCAGTCCTTCCCCTGACTGAACAGAATGAACAGCAGAGTTCCACAAAAGTGACTCCCACTAACACTGGACGTCATACTCTGAATACTGGAATTAAAACAACAGCTTGTATACTGCCAACCTCATCCAGTTTTGACAGTGCCTCTTAAATTCATCCCCAAGCTCATACTCAACACTGCTCTGATCCTGCTGGGAGGAGAGGAGGAGACCAAAGAAACTAAGGAAGTACAGAGACATGATATGGCACGTGATCTTCCACTGTTCCTTTAGCATTGCATGGTTAATATGGTCAACTTGACAGAATCAAGAATTTCCTAGGGGCAAAGCTCCAGGCACATCTATGAGGGATTATCTAGACTAGATCTGTGTCTGGGGCAGCCTGTGAGATCTTATCCACATTAGATTAATTGAAGTGTGAAGATGCACCCTAGTTGTGGGCCACACCATTCTATGAACCTGGATGCTGGACTGAATGAATACAAAGGAGAAAGCAAGCTAACAGGAGCATTTGTAACTCTCTGCCTCTAGAGGAGGATACAGTATGACGAGCTGCCTCAAGTCTGGGCCAGCACTTCCCTCCATGACAGACCAGACCCTCGAACTGTGAGCCAACAGAAACACTTTCAACACTGAAGTTGCTTTTGTCAAAGTATTTTACCACCCCAACAGGAAAGGCAACTAAGACAAAGACGAAGTGCGCAGAGCCTAACAGGCTTCTGTCCTTAAGGAAACTCTGGGGCACACACAGAGAAGAACCATGGACTGCACACATGTCTTATTTCACCTCTCCTGTGTTCAGAAGACTCATTTTTCAGAGACAAAAAATAACATTTTGGGGGGGCTGGAGAGATGGCTCAGCGATTAAGAGCACGACTGCTCTTGCAGAGGACCTGGGTTCGATTCCCAGCACCCACATGCCAGCTACAAGCCATCCTTAACTCCAGTTCCAGGGGAATCCGAAGCCCTCTTCTGACCTCCACAGCATTGCACGACATGGGTGCACTCACATACACACAGGCAATACACTCAAACACATAAAATAAAAATAATGAAGTAAAAAAAAAAAAAAAACATTTTCAAGAGGTGCTACATCAGTCAAAATGAAGTTTGCTTGGAAAGTGTATTGGAAGAAACGATGAACTTTGACTAGGGAACGTGAATGAAACGTAAAATGAAAGACACAGAAGTGACTGTCTCACATGATAGGTATTTGAAAATACAGCAAGTGATACCATGGATAGATGGGGTGGGAACAACACAGCTCTTACCGATGCTTCACAGCTGGAGCAGTGGGATCCTTGAGACCAGTTTTACTGATCTGAGTCTGGATATCTTGAATGTTTTTAAAGAGTTCATTATTTTTGGAACTACAAGCCTCTAATAATTTCTCTTCCTCCATAAGTTCCTCTTCACTCAAGCCGTGTGTCTCTGATAACTTTACCAACAGCGCACCAAGAAGTTTCTCACAGGTGGTATCTCCCCCTTGTTCAGCATCTTTAAAACTTATACCAAGCATCTTCAAGCGTTCGTCCAAAGGCCTGGCCTTCTCTTTTATCTGGTGCACGTCTTCCTGGACATTTTTCACTGCCACAGTGTTTGCTGGTGCATCTGAGGCAGGACAGTCTGTCGGGGGCTCAGCAGACAGCAAAGCTGCTTTCACAGAAGCCAAGAAATCTTCCAGAGCTTTCAGGGCCTCTTCCCTCATCTGCACCTTCTGGCTCATTTTTTCCAGCTGCGTTCTACATTTTAGGACAATATCCTGGATTGCACGCTGATCAAATGTGTGCAATTCCCTTGATACAAAATTTTTAGGCTCCTCTAAATTAGCACAGAGTGTGATCTGTGTTGCTATGGAATTTTGGATATTCTAAGATAAAAAAGTAAAAACAAAGTGAAAAGAGAGGCCTTCAATCTCTAGTACTATAAACATGGGTGCACATAAGAGCACATGCAACACATGTGCACACACACACAAACCTGAGACAGAGAAACAAAAGAAAGCACACGTCAGAATCCAGACTCAATGACGTGATCCAACCTGACCTGGACCAATATTTCTGATTTTAACCAGAGTTGAAGGTTTCAGTATCAGGGAACATTTTAATGACAAATGATCTGATAGCCCCACTATTTCTTTATTTGCTACCCTTCCTGATGCTTTAATTTCCCACCAAAAAACAAGTATATAAAGCCATTGCTTCAAAATAAATACTTAGAGATGAACAGCAAGGTGATCTGTTCGACAAGCTGAAATATATATGCTTTAAAATGAGATCTGGAGTAAGGCAACTGTAGGGTATGCCTGCAAGGTCACTATGATGTTCAGGAATCCAAGTACTGAAGACAGTCATGAAGAAAGCTTCATTCGGGGCTGGAGAGACAGCTCAGCCATTAAGAGCACTGGCTGTCCTTATAGAGGACGTGGGTTCAGTTCCCAGCACCTACATGATAACTAAACTCGTAACTCCAGTTCCAGGGGCTCCAGTGCCCTCTTCTGTCCTCTGTGGAACATTGTGCACATGGGTATACTTACATACATGCAGGCAAAACACTCATACACATAAATAATTTTTGGAAACTTCATTTTGAACAGAAAAGAAAATACTCATTTCTTACTCCTTGGTACGTATCTCCACACTTCCAGGAGTGGAAGCGTTAAGAACTGAGTAACAAGTCTAAATTGCTGAAGGCACCAATCATGTATATTACAAATCTATGTGATGAGAAGCAATTAAAAATCCCTGAACAACTATAACTCTCTGAAGAACTGAAGCTTCTGTAAAGACTGTGAGAATTTACTCACCCTGAGATTCTGAAAGATGCTGTCAGCCTTGATAAAGTGCAGATCCTGGACAGTCAGGGCACAGAGTGGCAGATCAGAGTCACACAGGAGGGTGGATTCCTTCTCCAAGGGCAGCACGGCCTGCAGTGCCGTCTTCAATGACTCCATTCTGGAGGGAAAACAGATGTGAGGGGAAACAGCAGAAGGCTATACTATAAAAACACGTGAATATTATCATTTAACCAAAAGCACAAAATGTATACCAAGTAAAAATGCATATTGACATACAAATCACCACACTAAAACCCAAACTCACAGATCCAAAGTGCCAAAAAAAAAATTGACTAAGGGTATAGCTCAGTGGTTAAGATGCCTGTCCAGAAAGTGGGAAGCTCTGGGCTTTGTCCTTAGTGCTAAAATAAAAACAAGTAAAATCATAAAATAAAAATCTAACCACAAACTCAGGCATGCGTGTGCGTGCGTGCACGCACGCACGCACGCACACACACACACACACACACACACACCGCTCATTCTTTGATCTGTTCATTCAACATTTATTTAGTAAGAGACCTAGGCTAGCCTGGGACAATCCAACTCACTTCTGTTGTTCTAGACTGAGATTACAGATTACTCCAGTACATCCAGTTTACGTGGTACTTAGGATCAGAAACAGGGTTTTGTGCATTAGCAAGTAGTCTACCAACTGAGCTACATCCCCAGCCCTCAGATGTTGTCACTGATGTTTTTTTCCTACTCTCAAAAGTGTTTCAGGGGGCTAGAGAGCTGGCTCAGTGGTTCGCAGCGCTGGCTGCTCTTACAGAGGACCCAGGTTCAGTTCCAGCACCACGTGGTAGCTAACAACCGTCCCTAACTTCAGTTCCAGGGGATCCAATGCCTTCTTCTAATCTCTGTGGGCATTGCATGACACGGGCACACTTACATACATGCAGGCAATACACTCATACACATAAAATAAAAATATATTTTTCTGGAAGTCTTTCATTACCTAAATATCCTAGTTTAATACAGAATGGAAAATTGTTAAGCATACTAAACACTTCTTTCTTCCCTGAAATAAAAAAATACTTAACTTTGACTTAATGACCAAGAAACAATGAAATTATTTTATTATAATTATCGAATTATTGCTTATAAGAAGTATGGAAATAAATGGGACCCAATGAATGGGCTCTACTGAGAACAGTTTAAAGTGTGGCTTTGGTAAATAACACATAGACTCTGAACCTGGTGTACTTTCGTTATAAAAGAAGAATATATACTGGGGACATACACCCCACCCTCAGGTTTTATACAGAATAATAGCTCTCATTTTAAAAATGAAGGCGTTGATGCTCTGACAGGTTGTGACCCAGCCAAATTCATACCTAGGGAGAGACATGACCTTTGGAACTAGAGACCTTGAGTTCTTCTTAAGTCTCTAGCTAGTGGTATGGCTTATTTACCTTATATACTCTCTGAGTATGTTTCCTTATTGGTAAAATGAGAATTATGATGGCTATGATATGATCTGAAATATCCCCCAAAGGTCCTCATGTTAGCAGCCCGGTCTTGGGCCTGATGCTACTGGGTGGTAGGAGGACCTATTTCAGTAGGTGGAACTAGTGAAGGAAGTGAGGTCCCTGGGGGTCACTGGAGGTGTGTTCTTGAAGGGGACAGGGGAACTCCAGCCTCTTTCTGTTTCTCTATTTGCTCTCCAGCTGCTAGGGAGTACACAGTCCTGATCTTCCATGCACTTCCACCATGCATGCCAGTCAGGGTGCTCTGCACCGCCACAGCCCCAAAGCAACAGAGCCAAGTGATCTCTGAAACGGTGGGCCCAAATAAACCTTTTCCCTTAATCAGTTTTCTCCCAGGATTTATCACAGTGACAGAACACAAACACAATAATCTTTACTTCTCTTGTGATTGTGATACTATGTAAAATAATGGGGCATAGTAATAGCCTTGCTCGGCATGACTGAAAACTTAAGTGTGTTAATTCACAGTCAGTGGACCTGGGAAGCTACCTGATGTGAAGAAGTTGCTGAAGCTCATTCTCTTTTCCCTTCAGTAAGTCTCTCGCCTTGGCCACTGTAGGCCTCTTCATGTCACTCAGCAGACTTTCTAAATTCAGTGAAGTCACTTCAAACTCATTCCAGCAAGCATCAGTGTCAGCTTTTAATGCCTAAGTGAAATGAATAAGTCAATTTATCAACTCATGGGTTAAAGGCACAATTACCCTTTTCTGACAAAATGAGACATTCACCATCTATGGGAGCGAACACAATGATCCACGTGAAAACGTGTTTTTAAGTATTTTATGACCATCTACAAATGGACAGACCTATACAATAGTATGAACTATCACAAGACTCATTCAGGGGCTGGCAAGATGGGTTGGTGGCTACAGGCACCTGCTGCCAAGCTCAATGACCTGAGTTCCATCCCTGGGATCCACATGGAAGAAGAAGAGAACTGAGTCCTACAAGCTATCCTCTGATTTCCACAGATGCATACTGACACACAAGCCCACACACACCTATGCACACTTACACACAAACAGCAAATAAATATAATGTAATTAAAAAAAAAAAAAAAAGAAGACTCATTCAACTAAGTTAAGCCACTTGACAGTATGGCTGTCAGAGGCATCCAAACTCACTGCCCCTGAGACACACAGAAAACCATCTCTATGGGCCGAGAAAATTGCTTAATGGGTACCACGCTTACTGTGCAAACATGAGGACCTGAGTTTGGATCCCTAGCACCCATGGAAAAAGCTGGGCATGGCAGTGTAAATTCCAGTGCTGGGAGGTATAGACAGAAGGACTGTGGGGCTCCCAGTCAATCAGTGAGTTCCAGGTTCAATGACAGATTCTGTCTCAAAAATACAGTGGAATGCAATAGAGGAAGATATCTGACCTTGACCTCTGGACTATGCGCTTGCTTACACACACACACACACACACACACACACACACACACACACACAGAGGAAACCACATATAAAAATAATAACAGGTATTCAACTATCTCTGTCTAGTAAATCTTTGTTATATTCCAAACTAAAAGAAAACTTAGGGTCAATCAAAAAGTATCTCTATATATATAAGTGAATGAAATTAATTTATGGTTTATTATTATCTATGTTTCTATATTATTCTACATCCTTTTCTTGGCTTTTTTCTTTTTTTCTTTTTAAAATTTTTATTTATTATTTTTAATTTTTTAATATGAGTGTATTGCCTGCATGTAAGCGTACCCGTGTTGTGCAATGTCTACAGAGGTCAGACGAGACCATTGAATCCCCTGGAACTGGAGTTATAGACAGTTGTTAACCACAATGTGGGTGCTGGGAATTGAACCCGGGTCCTCTGCAAGAGCAGCCAGTGTTCTTAACTGCTGAGCCATTTCTCCAGCCCCCTCTTTTTTCCTTTTTAAAGCATTGCTTTTGAATCCTACTGAGGGATCAACAGAACAACTTGTTCTTCACGTTTCCCAAAGATCAACATACCTATGTGAACTAACCCAGTATTCAAAGGTCTCCAGACAGTCTCTTGATTGTAATGAAAACATGCTAAATCCACCAACAGAACATCACAGATTGAAATATATAATTGGCTCATTCAGATGAAAACCAGAGAGGAGCCAGATGGGAGAGTGCGACCAAGAGCCGGCATAACAAAATGATGGAAACTAGAAACTGTGGGCTGTTTTCTTCACCATCTTCCTGACGGCTCCACCACTAGGAGTCACTAATATACCAAATCAGGCAACAACAGTGTTACACCACAATACACAGATGTGCTCAAAATAACTTCAATATTTTTTTTATTTATTATTTTTAATTTTTTAATATGAGTGTATTGCCTGCATGTAAGCGTACCCGTGTTGTGCAATGTCTACAGAGGTCAGACGAGACCATTGAATCCCCTGGAACTGGAGTTATAGACAGTTGTTAACCACAATGTGGGTGCTGGGAATTGAACCCGGGTCCTCTGCAAGAGCAGCCAGTGTTCTTAACTGCTGAGCCATTTCTCCAGCCCCCTCTTTTTTCCTTTTTAAAGCATTGCTTTTGAATCCTACTGAGGGATCAACAGAACAACTTGTTCTTCACGTTTCCCAAAGATCAACATACCTATGTGAACTAACCCAGTATTCAAAGGTCTCTAGACAGTCTCTTGATTGTAATGAAAACATGCTAAATCCACCAACAGAACATCACAGATTGAAATATATAATTGGCTCATTCAGATGAAAACCAGAGAGGAGCCAGATGGGAGAGTGCGACCAAGAGCCGGCATAACAAAATGATGGAAACTAGAAACTGTGGGCTGTTTTCTTCACCATCTTCCTGACGGCTCCACCACTAGGAGTCACTAATATACCAAATCAGGCAACAACAGTGTTACACCACAATACACAGATGTGCTCAAAATAACTTCAATATTTCTTTCCAGAGCTTATGATCTGCGTGCCTACCATGAGTCAACTGTTTTTTTCTGCAGTACCTGAGTCAAATGCAATACATTCTCTGAAGTCTTTCTAGGAATGTGATTCCTCATTTACAGTAAAAACTCTTCCCTGTCCAACATCATACAGTTGACAATTGGCATATATTATAGCAACTTTTTCTTAAACTTTATTTTATGTGTGTGTTATGCCTGCATGTATGTAAGTGCGCCTGTTGTCATGCAGTGCCAGAAGAGGGCATTGAATTCCCTGGAACTGAAGTTACTGACAGTTATTAGCCTCCATGTGGGTGCTGGGATTTGAACCTGGGTCTTCTGTAAGAGCAGGCAGTGCTCTCAACTGCTGGGTCACCTCTGCAGACCATATTACAGCAACTTTTAACACTGTCAAGTTGATCAGGATGACGAACTATCGAAATAAGTATTCAGTCATTAGTTTATTAACTTTTTTCATTGACTGTAGTATCTGGGCTGGCCTGGAACCTGACATCCCCCTGCCTCAGTCATCTAAGTACTGGGATTACAATCATTCCCAGAACACTAGTTCATTACTTTGGAGCAGGTTGAAATTACTTTCAAATGCATAGTTTTTGATCATTTCATCTGAAACCCCAAACACATACAAAAAAACCTCTATAAATTATAACAGCTAGAGTAACAGATTAGATCAAAGGCAGTAAATTAAGACCTTGAACCAAAGACTTTCTTGTATTTTGTACTTGAAAACAAATCTGGAGATAGTAACATGAGAAACGCACTCCAACAAGGGCTTACATATGTGCCTGCCACAAAACGGGGGCAGCCATACCCATGGTGGTATAATTTTCCAATCTGAGATACAAGAGAAATAATATGCTGAGGAATTACCTGCAGGTCTACCAGTTTCTCCTGCAGGCAAGCACTACTCTTCACATTTCCACTAGAGAAGTCAGAAGTAACCTTGAATGCGTTGTTTTGTAGGTGTAGTTCAAGAATCTCTCTTTGTGTATCATACCTGGGAAAAAAATTAAGTGCAGCCATTATTTAATATGAGGAAGGGGGGCGAAAGAGAGCAAAGTAAAATTTATATGTAAATTATATATAGTTAGATATATGTATATGAAAAGTCACAGTGAAACCCATTTCTTTGTTTGCTAACCAAAAAATTAGTTTAAAACATAAATTTAAAACATTACTTCATTTTAAAAATAAGATAAAACCTTTTTAGTGTCAATTATAGATGCAGAAATACCCAAGGAGTTTCTGCTTAAGTTGCAGAGCCAATTTTATGACTAAAGAATAATACAAATTTTCAAAATATACAACACAGGTGGAAAAAACGACTTAGTGGGTTAAAGGGGCTTGCCACCAAGTTTCACAACTTGATTTTAATCCCCTGAACACATCGTGGAAGTACAGAACTAAGTCTTGTAAGTTGTCCTCTGACTTCCACATGCATGCATACACACATACATAAATGTAAAAAAGTGGGTGGGGGAGCCAGACATGATGACCTACACCTTGATCCAGCATTCAGGAGGCAAAGGCAGGTCTATCTCTGTGAGATCAAGGACAGCCTGGTCTCTATAGTGAGTTCCAGGATAGCTGGGGCTACAGGGGAGACCCTGTCTTAAAAAAAAGAAAAGAGGGTCTAGAGAGATGGCTCAGCAGTTAAGAACACTGTTCTTGCAGAAGACCTGGGTTCAAATCCCAGCCCCGACATGGCAACTAACAACTGTCTGCAACTCCAGTTCCAGGGGATCCAGCGGCCTCTTTGACCTCTGTGGGCGTTGCACGACACAGGTGCACTTACCTACATGCAGGCAATACATGCAAACACATAAAATAAAAATAATAAAATATTTTTTTAAAAAAGGAAAAGAAAATCTAAAAAGAAGAAAAGAAAAGAGGGGGCAGCAAGATGGCTTAGTGGGTAAAGACACCTGTCACCAAGCACGAGGACTTGATTTCAATCCCTAGAACCCACACGGAAGAAAAAAAGAACAGTTTCCTGAAAACTGAAAGTGGCCCTCTGCCTCCACACAGGCACTGTGCACAAAAATAAACAAATAAACATATTTTTTAATGTAAACATTCTCACTGGTGAAAGATTACTGGTGGGTTTTCTAGTTTATTTAAAAAGTTACCTCTCGGGGGCTGGAGAGAAGGCTCAGCAGTTAAAAGCACTGACTGCTCTTGCAGAGGACCCAGGTTCGATTCCCAGCACCCACTTGGTGGCTATGAACTGTCTTTAACTCCAGTTCCAGGAGAATCCGAAGGCCTCTTCAGACCTCTGCGGCACTGCACAACACGGGTGCACTCACATACATGCAGGCAGTACATGCATACACATAAAAATAATAAAATATATTTTTTTAAAAGTTACCTCTCTTGCAAGCTATTTACAGATGTGCTGTGATCCTTTACTGCCTTCTTCACAATGCTTTCTTCTTGTTGAGGCTTTAATTCTGGTGTCTGGCTAAAGTTCTTGATGGATTCCATTGCCTAAGCAAATATACAAAATAGTAAACTTAATACCTTAAATACTTAACTGGAACATTTCTATGATTTGTACTCAAAGATATATCATTGATTCTATATATTCTAAACCAGAAGAGAATACAAGTCTTTGAGAGTTCTCAGTTCAGAGCAAAGCCTTCTCATAGGAAAGAGATTTACTAAGCTGACTGTGATCTTCTAGTTGACAAAGGAATAACCACCAGTCTCTAAACGCTGATTCTGCCTCAAATCTCATAGGCTCAGTCAAAAGCAAAGCCTATCATGCAGGGGCAGACCCCTGAAAGCAAATTCTTCCCCTATGCATGCTGTCTGGCACTGTGCTCTATAGTATATGCCAATTTATCTACCTTCAAGAATTTAGGAAATTCAACTCCCAAGGGAAGCAAAATACATTACAATGAGAGAGCCAACAGCAAATGAACCAGCTCATCTCAACATATGGAGGCATCTGTGCAGTCCCAGGTCAACCTTGTCCACCTCAACAGTAACCCACACAAACAATTGTCTTCATAGTGGCTCAAAGCAGAATTGATTTGAAGCCAAGTGTTAGTACCCTCAGAAGATTGTCCGCTTACTACAGCCTTGGTTCACTGCATTCTAACTCTGAGAAGCTGTCTTCTTTGCATTTTGTACGTGGGAAATCATAGTGGAGGAAAACAATCAGACAGTTAAACCAACACTTCCGAGAACTGATGTTGTACACTTGGAACTCTACACTGAGTTTACTTGCAAAATAGATAATCCGCAGTTAAGACCTTTTCAGTGGATGGCTGGTCATCTGATTTCGCAAATGGTGCCTCACTGTGGTCACTGCTCCCGCCATTCTCAGTGGTGGTCACGGTGCCCCTAGGACAGAAGCAGGACTACATATTAAAATACAATGGGAAAAAATGAACCCTAAAAAAGCATGCCTCTTACTTCATGCGATCTGATTATGCAAAAGACTTCCTCTAGTCTTACTCAGGACTCTGGCGATTCTTACAAAGCACAAACCTCTCCTCTGATGCACCTCCTTGGTGCTGCAGGGTCACGCGAATCCCGGAAGCACATTTCAGAAGCGTTTCTATCTTTTGTTCATAATATCTCAGTGCTTTCTTTAGTTCTTGTTGACCCTCCGGGGAAGTCAGCTCTTCACACAGCGCCTTCAGGGCACCCACATGGTGATCAAGCTGGCTTGCAATACTTTCTGGAGAAAAGCAAGCCTGAGACAGAATAAGGTAAAAGCTGGGCTTTAGATGAGCATGCATGATTATTCTGTAAAGATAAGAAACTCCAGGTGTGTGTGATTCTGACAACATGTTCTTTTATGGACCATCTGCTGTGGGCTGGGTACAGGCACTAGTGGAAACAGATGAGGAAGTCAACCCTAAAGGATTCCCAGTTCAGTAACTGACATGCAAATAACATAGCATTGTGTTGTGTGAGTGCAACCGCCTGCCTGCTCCACTAGAGGGAACAACCATCAGAGCTGGATGCGCGGGAAGAGGAGTTCTCTAAGCATGAGTGGAGAAATTAACTGCCTTAGTTTCTTTTCCTGCTCATGTGGTAAAACGCTGACAAAAGCAATTTCAGGGAGAAAAGGTTTACTTTAGTTCATAGTCCAAGGAACAGTCCAGAATGGCAGAACCAAGGCAGCAGGAGCCTGAAGCATCTGGTCAGATCTCTTCCACAATCAGGAAACAGAGGGATACACAATCAGGGAACCATGATAGGGCTCAGCTCACTTCCTCCATTCTGTACAGCCTAGGAGCTCCTGCCTAAGGAATAGCCCCACCACATCAGTTAACTTAATCAAGATAATCACCCAAAGATGTGCCCAGAGGCCCATCTCTCAGGTAATCCTAGATTCTGTCAAGCTGACAATTAGAGCTAACCATCACAGAGAAGTCACCTCCAACTGTGACAGGCGATGACAAACAGCAAGTGTTCTGAAATGGGTCCTGTGCTGCTGCTGCAGTGCGCAGCGTAAGAGACACATTAAAAGGGTGTCTTCAGGCCAGAAGGTGTAAAAACTGCGTGGCTTTCTAAAGAGCTTGGGTTGTCCTGGAAGAGGGGAGGGGGTTACTACTGGGAGCCAATGACATAAGATCTGGGCTTCAAAAGGGTAGTTCTAGGGTTAGAGATATAGCTGAGTTGGTAGATTGCCTGTAGTTCCTGTAGATTGCATGAGGCCCTGGGTTTGATCCAAGTGCTAACTATGGTCATGGAAGATGGCACAGTTATCCACTTCCTGAGAAAAAAGGGAAGCGGCAACATGGATGGATGGAAAGGAAAAGCAGATGAGAAAAAGCTAACGGACTGATGGAATTAAGCCACTCACTAACTCAACTAGGACTGAATGGGTAGAACGGGGGGAGAAGACAGATCATGTTGAGATCACAATCCCTTTCATAGCCAAGGTATTGCACAGAGCAGGAAGCAACACTTGAGTGGTGAGATTACTGTTCTATTTTAAATACAGGAATTTGAAGAACACTTGTGATACCTACTAGTCAGAAAGAGCATGTGGAGTTCAGGGTGAAAGGCTGCCAGAGAGAAAGACTTGGGCACTACCACCACAGAGGAGGAAGCTGTAGTCCTTGAGTATATGAAATTGCCTACTGATGGGCTGGAGAGATGGCTCAGCAGTTAAGAGCACTTGCTGCCCACCCAGAGGACCTGGGTTTTGTTCCCAGCACCCACAATCAGGAGCTCACGACCACCTGTAACTCCAGCTCCAGGGGATCTGATGCATTCTTCTGGACTCTACACTCACTGTATGCACATAGTATACATACATACTCAGGCACACATGTGTACACATAAAATAATTTTTAAAAATTATTATTTTTATTTTATGTATATGTGTGTATTGCCTGCATGTAAGTGCACTCGTATCGTGCAATGCCCGCAGAGAACAGAAGAGGCTGTAGGAACCCCTGGAACTGGAGTTATGGACAGTTGTTAGCTGCTATGTGGGTGCTGGGATTCGAACCCCAGTCTTCTGCAAGAACAGCCAGTGTTCTTAACCACTGAGCCATCTCTCCAGCCCCTAATTTTTTTATTGTATACTGAGGAAGCATGAAATTAGTGAACAGTGGAGACCATTCTCACCATTCTAAAAACCAAGACATTTAAGAAAAATGGGGAAATTTGTGGAGGACAGTAAAAGAAAGATCCTCTTCAGGATAGATTATAGATAGAAGATAGATATCATGTGCATATAAAATATGTCACATATATTACTATATATCTATATATCTGTGTAAGGGAGAATTGACACTGGGAGAGTCACAGCCAAAAAATAGTTAAAAAGAAATGAAAAGAAGAATCACTGCTATGAACCACATAAATGCAATCAAATAAGTTAGAGACCCAAAAAGGATCACCAGCTCTGCCCCTAAAGCTCCTTTATGACTTCACAAAAGCTGCACTCTGAGGACACCATGTCCTGACAAAAACATCTGCACTTGGTAGTAGCTGACACAGTGATGACTAGTCTCAGGATGAAGGGATACTGAGTCACATCAAGAGAAGCCATGCAACAGGAACTTAACACTGAGTAGTCTCACTTGTAAAGAATTAGAAGCACAGGATCTAGTGAGAGCCTCAAGCACATGAGTGCCAACCCCAGGGCACTCAGAGAAGTGAGGCCATTTCTTGAGCAGATGCAATCCTCAGCCAAAAGCTCGTGCAGTGGTTACACCGTGAAAGCACTGGCAAACTCCAGAGGCCAAGGGTGGCTTTACCTCATGTTCTTTGACCAGACCCCTGATCTTTCCTCTTCGGATAAGCTTCTTTTCCTTATTTATTTGCTTTTCAAGTTTTGCAATATTGTCACGAAGCTTTCCTTCTTCAATGTCTATTTTTAGTTTTTGGATATACAAAGAAATTTCATGATGGAGAGACTGCATAAAAAAACAAAGGAACATATTAACCATGAGCACATAATACACTGAAACCTTTTTCTAGTAACAACAAAAAGTATTATACACACAAAAGGAAAGAAATGGAGTTTAAACAGTATTTTGATTCATCTATGTAACTTTGAGGAGAATACTTTAAAACATTTCAAATTTATAAACATTTTTCTTTCTAATAACTAAAGATGTGCTCTAAGCTGTGAGAGATGTCATTGGGAAAAATTAAAAACAAGCTATAGCCAGGGAGAAAATATATTCAAAACACATATTTGAGCCTAAGGAGACATAACAAATAAATATAATGTGGATCTGGATTGGGCCTGGGGCAGAGAGAAACAGTACTGCTGGGAAGCCGTGTGAGCTGAACAAAGTGCACGTTTTAGTTCATTTTAATGCATCCATTTTGGCCATTAATTATGACAAAGTTCTATACCAGAACTCTCTGGACCATCTCATCTCTGCAATAATTCTTTACCTCTAAAACAGTTCTAAAACAAGACTTCATTACCAAAAAATGTTTTCTGAAAACCCTGAATAGTATTCAATTCAGCCAGACATGGTGGTGCATGCCTTTAACCCTACGACTCAGGAAGCAGATGGATCTTTGTTTGAGTTCAGCCTGGTCTAAGAGAGCTCCAGGTCAGCCAGGGCTACACAGTAAGGCCATGTCTCAAAAAAAAAGCCATTCAACTCAACTACATAGACACATATGGAGTCAGCCCTAGGTACCCATAGGAGATTGGATCCAGGACCCCTTCCCTACTGGAGTTACCAAGATCTGAGGACACTTGAGTCCCTTATGCAAAATGGTACAGTATTTGCATTTACCTACACACATCTAGTAGACTGTAAATCACATCTAGATTATCTATAATAACTAGTGTAATGTATATGCTACAGCGTATTGTTCAGTGACTCACGGGCAAACAAAAGACTGTACACTTTCAGAATAGACACAATTCTTCTCAAATATTTTTCACACGTTTGGTTGAATACATGAAACAGAATTCAAAGACATGGAAGCCTGGGTATATAGATTGACTATACACATATACATTCACTACCATGTACTGAACATATTCTCTGTGACTTATACAAATGTTAGCAACAATCCTGTCAAATAAACTGTGTCATTTCCATTTTATCAGTGAGGCTCTTTAAGTTCAATGACCTATCCAGGGTCACAGCTTTGCCTCCACCAAAGCCTCTACCTATTTCACTACAGAACTCTGCCTATGTGAACACTGTCACTGTATTACCTCAGTCAGGACCCAACCAGGAAGTCAGAAATACACTCAACTCTTAATTCTGGGAATACTGAAGGCTGAGAATAGAAAAGCCATGGATGAAAGTGCAGAGAAGTCAAACTGGGAAGGGCAAGGCAATCCAGAACACTGTTCTACCTCTAGGATGGAGGCTTTGATGGAGACCAAGAGGGAAAGACACTGTCAGAAGCTGGAGCCATGGGATCCAGAGCTGAGAGAGACTCTGCTGCTGAGGCACTGTGTGGAGAGGGAGGGAAAGAAATCCCCTAGGCTCTCCTCTGCCTTTGACCTATAAAATATTATCACCAGCTGAGGCAGACACCAACTGAGGCAGAGCCTGGGATCAGCACCTGCTGGGATCAGTCCATCTCTAATCCATCTGCATCACGGAGTAGGCACAGGAACCCCAGGAATGATTGTGATGACGGACAGGCCGAGTACCAGACCCACAAGCCTGAGGCCCAGATGCGCAAGCTCCCCTCACCTCCCACTTGGCACAGGCATCTCGACTCTGCTCTTCCTGATGCGGCTTCACACCCTCTGGTGTGCTCTGCTTCAGTTCCTCAATAGCTTTCAGATACTTGGCCAGACTATTGGTGTTAAAAATTTCCAAAGCTTCCTGAAAAAGGAAAAAGTCAACACAGGTATAATCAAGGAAACCTGATTATACTACCAAATCCTTAAACCTAATTTGGAGGGTCTTTAACAAGAGTAACGAGAGGGGAAAAATTTATAGGAGGCGTATTTTTGGGGTAGGTTGTGGCTGATAATCTATTTGTATATCTTGAGTTCTTTTGAAAAGATTACAAAATGTTTATTACTGAAAGGTATTTACCTATTTGATATCTTCTTGATATTTAAAGTGGTAAAATTAGCATTGCAATAAGAAAAATATAATAAGGGTTTATGTGGCAAATATTTAATATTGTGGATAAGCAATGTTTTGCTGCCAGAGGGCACCATTACATTATAATGAACTTAAGCTCTTGCCCAGGGCCAGTCCAGAGGTGGTCCCACCCAAGGAAGAGCTGCAGTAAAGAGGGCTGGGGATAGCCTTAGTGATCATGTATCTGCCCCCCCACCCCGCCATGTCTTCTGAGGCTAGAAAGCTGGCCTAGGTAACTAGTGAGTGACAGAACAAAAAGTAGGTTGGGAAACTTGTGAGAAGGGCTGAAAATCCACAGGAGAAAGGATTCTGGAGAAGGCAATTACGTAGGGTAGAAACTTGTCCATTTACATGCTATACACAGCACCTGGAACTGGAGTTGTAGGTAATTGTGAGCCACCCCATGTGAGTGCTGAGTCCTCTGCAAGAGTAGCGCGTGCTCTTTACTGTAGGCATGCCACAATGCAGAGCCCAGGATCCTCTCCATGACTTCTTTGATAACTGCAGATTTGTGAACTGCAAAACACGCTAAGCTGTAATGCTAGTGGGAGCGCCCACTGCCCGTGCACCTGTGGAGCCCAGTAGGCTCAGGGCAGCACCTGACATGATCTTACTTCTGTGATGAAAATGCATTCACTTCATTAAATGCTCCAGTCTCAAAAAAAGATAGTCAGGAAGAGGAAAACAGGGCAAAAGCTGACATACTTCTCTCGCCTAAGAATCTCAATTTTTAAAAAATTTAAATTACTTTTATTAATTTTTTACTTCTGTGTTATCTGTGTTTGCCTGCTTATCAGTATGTGTACCATGTGGGTGCAGATGCCTGTGGAGGCATTGGGTTCCCTGGAACTAAAGTTAAAGGCTACCCAATGTGGGTGCTGGGAAGAACCCAATCCAGATTCTCTGCAAGAGTAGCAAGTGCTCTTACTTAATCATTGAGCTGTGTCTCAGCCCCATTTTTTTTCTGCTTTGTAAGCCAAAATATCAACTCTTCTGAAATTCACCTTAGCAATGTGAATGATTGTTTCTTCCTTTTTAAAAATAAGATCTCGTGTAGCTGAGACTGGGTTCCAAGTGCCCAAGAATAATTGAACTCCTGATTATGCTTCCACCTCCTGAGTATAGGGATTACAGCAAATCACCATCACATATGGCCTTCATTTAAAAAACATTAACTCTGGGGGCTGGAGAAAGGGCTCAGTGGTTAAGAGCACTGGCTGCTCTTGCAGAGGACCCAGGTTCAGTTCGCAGCACCCACATGGCAGCTAACAACCATCCTTAACTCCAGTTCCAGGGGGATTGATGCCCTCCCTGGACCTCCCAGGGTACTGCATACATGTGGTCACATACATACATACAGGCAAAGCACTCAAACACATAAAATAATAAATTAATTAAAAAAAAATGTTAACTCTCAGGACCAATTCAGCACTGAGTAACCTGGGAGTAACAGCTGGTGGCTGGCAAAGTGCCCACAGTAGCATTAGATCAGGCAGGTGAGGGATGTCAAGGTCATGGGGAAAACAGTGTTGAAAGGGCTAATCACAGGGCCCAGCAGGGTTAAGAATCCAGGAAGCCAAAACACAGTGGGTCTCAGAAGAGAGAGAAGCCAAGATGAGAATGCCAACAGCTCCCGTAAGGATGTTTTCCTACAAAGAGTGGGTGCAGTACGACCGGGGTACCATCTGACCACATCTTCGCCTCCCTCAAAATGCCTCAGTAAGTGTGAAAAACGCTGAAGAAATGAGTGAAAGGCCCTGTATCCCCCTCTCCTCAGAGTCTGAGAGAAAGGAGCTTGTTTCCCCTGCGGTTTCGGTCTCGCCAAGAATTTCCCACAATGTTAAAAATAGTAGACGTCTCAGCTGAACGTGGTGGTGCACACCTGTGGTCACAGCGCCAGGGAGAATGAGGCAGGAGGATCAAAGTTTATGGTCATCCTGGGCTACATGGAGAGTCCTGGAACAGCCTTGTGCTACACAGGGAGACTGTCTCAAAAAACCTAAAAAGTACCCTGGCACACCTTTAATGGTGCACACCTTTAATCCTGGCACTCGGGAGGCAGAAGCAGGTGAACTCTGGGAGACTGAGGTCAGCCTGATCTAAAAAGCAAGTTCCAGCCAGCTCAAGCTACCCAAAGATCCATCTCAAAAACCTTTAAAAGCTTTTTTGCTTAAAGTTGATCTCTGATCACTGCTTTGGTTAAATCTGAAGCTGTGTCCATTGCCTTAAACTTGGAGGAGAAAAAAAACAATAAACAAAACACTTGGCTCCACTCATTTCTGAGGAATTATCTGGCCATTAATAATGGATGCTAGGGTAAGGGAAGGCATTTTCTTCAGTAGTGTAGCCACTGATAAGTTGCCTGGGCTCCAGTAAATAGCCCCAACCCATGCTGCTGTGAGCAACCCTAATTGATCTCATCATCACATCACACACACAAAAACACAGAAGCAGAAAGGGGACTAGCTGGGAAGGAGACGGGATTGGCAGGAGTGAGAGGGGGGTAAGAAGAGGTAATGACCTAAACAAATATATGCATCTATGAAAATGTCATGAGACTATTATGCTTAATTAACATATACGAACATATTAAAATACTAGCCTTGCTAGTAACCAATAAAGCAAAATGACAACAAAAACCCTGGAAACTCTCCCTAAAACAACATTGTTGGGTCTTTCAAATAAGTATATGTCTTTTACACTCATGGAATTTAAACTATGCAAAATGCCTCCATGTACCTTAAGTTTATTTAAAGCCTCATAGCAAATCTGGCAGCTGGGCTGGACTGAATTACTATACTCATCCCCACCCCCACCCCCGAGAAAAAGCAAAGCCAGGGAAACTAGGTTCTTGCCCAATCTTAGAATCCAAACACAATCAGCAGCTACAGAATGAAATTTAAATCAAAATATTCTTCACTTGATATTTATTTTTAATATTATTGGGAGAACAGGAACTAATAATGGGAAACTGTGCAAGTTACAGTAACTCTGCATGTAATTTCAGGGAAGGAAACATTTAGATGTCAAGCAACAACAGGAGCTAATGATAAACATTCTCCATGTGATAGCCAGAAAGCATCTCACCATGTACTGGGAGATGAGGCCACTGGGGAGCTCTCTTTGCCCAAGTAACTTCTCAGCTCTCATGATGTATGATTCTAGCTCCTTCTGTGCCTCTTCAGCCTTCAGCCTCACGTTTAACTGTGGTGACGTGTCCGTGGAGTTCTTCAGTGCTGTGGACAATTCTACCATGGTGATCTATGAAGACAAAAGCATCCATGTTAACAGTTGAGCCAACTGCTTACTAAATTCATAAGTTAACAAAATTTTGAATAGCAGTTTGTTTTCCAATTATGCATAGAAAAATATGATTTAAAACATTTCTATTTTCCAATTATGCAGAAATAAAATAGAATGGAAAACTAAGATTTAACAAAACATTTCCAAGCTTCAGGGCTAAACCCTCCTCCTTGCCCAGCCATCGATCACTTGGTTCTAAAAAAATAAATTCACTAAATAAGGAGTATTAAGTAGAGACCTGGACTTTCTCTTTAGCTTCTTGAAGGTTTGCCTGCAGCCCAGCTCTGAGAACATGTTGGAAGGACTCCAGGCTTGAAGCACTTTGAATATCCATCTGTAAAGAATCTTCGGTTCTGGCCAGAAGCTCCTCATACATAGAGCCCTTAGCAGCAAGACGCTATGAAAAAAAAGAGCAATCATAGGAAATACTCTGATTCCATATTACACATTAACCTTACCAATGCACCAGGAAATGGCAAAATGTTAATTATTAATCCAGAATGAGGCAAATTTGTATTCTAAAAACTGCTCTTTTAAAAACACATTTTGACGGCTGAGGATGTGGCTCAGTTGGGTTAGAGACTGCCTAGCATGCATGAAGCCCTGGGTTCTATCCACCCTAACATATAAAATCATATTACACATCTGTAACCCTAACAATAGGGAGGTGGAGGCAGGAAGATCAGAAGTTCAAGGTCATCTGTGGCTCTACAACAAGTTTGAGGCAGCCTGGGCTATATGAGGCCCTGTCTCAATAAATAAATACACATTTTGAAATCTTACAACACAGATTCTGACCCTCAACCTTTCATAGAATAATCTTTATAAACATTTCAATAAAATAAAGACTAGAAGTAAGACAAGGCCAATGGACAGAAAATATTTGTGGGCTAGGCTTGGTAGTGCATGCCTTTAATCACAGTACTGGGGAAGCAGAGGCAGATGAATCAATCTCTCTGAATTCAAGGCCAGCCTGGACTACATATCAAGTTTAAGGCCAGTCAAGGCAACAAAATGAGATCCTGACTCAAAAAACAAAAAAGGGTTATACAAGGCCAAAAGAAAGAAAGTTGGAGCTGGGTGGGCATGGTGGTTCATGCCTGTAGTCCCACCACTTGAGAGGTTGAGGCAGAAGGACTGTCATGAGTTCAAGGTCAGCCTGGGCTAATATCAAAACCACATTTCCAAACATAAATAATAAAAGAGAAAAAATTGGGATAATAAGGCTACTTTATTTCTAAAAGTTATTTCTAAGTCAAACTAGTAAGGAAAGGAATTAAATATTAGAAAAAATGTCTACTAGAAAATAATCTTTTAGTTTTAAGATTATTATAAGATTACAAAGCATAATTTTAATGCTTTATACAACATACCAAAAATAAATTCCAAATAGGTTAGAAAATGATGCACAAAGAAAAGCCACGCAAAGAACAAATTCCCCACGCAAATCAACCTGCTGCCTGTGTGCAGAGTCTTTTTAGGTATAGGAGTAAAAAAAAGAGACAGCACTTCAGCACTTCAGAGCACTGGCTGCTCTTGGAAAGGACCAGAGTTTGGTTCCCAGCATCCACATAACAACCATCCATAACTCTAGTTTCAGGGGATCCGATGCCCTCTTCTGTCCTCCATGGGCATTGCACACATGGGTACACTTAGATACATGCAAGCAATATACTCATACACATAAAAATAAAAATAAACTATAAAAGAGTAGAAAAAAGATGACTTCACAAATGTATAAATTTAATTCCTTTTTCAAAATGAAACAAGCCACTTAACAGTCAACAGCTTAACAAAAATATCTGCCACCAAAATGAAAATGGATCACCATACAAAAATTTTATGTAACTCAACAAGAACCATTCCAAAGAGCCAGGGCTAGTGGCATGTAATCCCAGAGACTCTCAAGGTTGAGGCAGGAGGATCATAAGCCCAAGGTCTGCCTGGGTTGCAGAATAATTTCAAGGTCAGTCCGGGTAACTTAGTGAGACCTTTTCTCAATGTAAAACTACAAAAAGGGATGGGGATATAGTTCAGAGGTACGGGCTTGCCTGGCATGAGGGAGGCCCTAGGTTCAGTCTCCAGTAGCACACAAAAATACCTGAAAAAAATAAAAGTGAAAGAAAATTTCCCAAAAAAACTCTGAAATAGGAAGTATACCGTGATGGCTAATCTTGGGTGCCAACTTGATACACTTGGGAAGAGAGACCTTCAACCGAGGAATTCCCCCCACCTGATTGGCCTATGGCATGTCTGTGGGGCATTTTCTTGATTGTTAATTGATAGAGAAGGGCCTAGCCCACTATGGGTGACACCATCCCTAGGCAGGTGATCTGGGCTGTATCAGAAAGGTAACTGAGCAAGCCAGGGGAAGCGAGCCAGTAAGCAGTTTTCCTCCATGGTCTCTGCTTCAGATCCTGCCTCCAGTCCCTGCCTCAGTTTTCCTCAGTGATGGACTTTAAGGTAGCCTGTAAGTTAGTATTTTCATTATTTTATTTTTATGTTTATGAGTGTTTTGTCTGCATATATGTAAGTACATCCATGTTATGCAATGCCCACAGAGGCCAGAAGAGGGCATCAGATCCTCTGGAGTTAAGGGCGATTGCTCTCTGAAAGAGCAGTCAGTGCTCTTAACTGCTAAGCCATCTCTCAGTGTTTTATCACAGCAATAGAGAAGCAAACTAGACCAAATAGATAATTCACAGAATTATGTGTAATAAAGATATAAAAGATAACGTGATCTTACATGTAATAAGGAATTACAAAACAAAATAACTTCTGTAGAAAAAAAAAGTAATTGTAACTCAAGAGTGGCACAGATATGGTACAGAATTTACAGTCTGTATATCAGCTACCCACATGCTGCTCTTACTGAACTTAGCATAATAGAATGGTGGCGATTTTGTTTTTGTGAAATTACAACATTCATTTTTTTTCTTTTTTCTTTTTTTTTTTATTTTTTTTTTGGTCTCTGAGATAGGATCTCTCTGTAGCCCCATCTGTCCTGGAACTCACTATGTAGACCAGGCTGGCCTTGAACTCACAGAGATCCACCTGCCTCTGCCTCCTGAGGGCTGGGATTAAAGGCATGTGCCACCATGCCCAGCTAGATTTTTTTTTTTTTTTTTTTTTATGATTTCTTGTGATTCTGTGGGATTTCCAGGAAATTCATCTGGTGGCCTCACTCTTTTTTGTTGTTGTTAATTATTTATTTAATAACCACAGATTTAGAAGAAGCATTTCATTACAACAGCACTGACATATTCAATAACAATTTTCTGAGCTAAGATGCATCTTTCATCTTTT